TTTGCGGTACACCCAACATACCTTCTGACGTACAGAGCTACCATATCACTTAACTACCGGACGCCTATCAATACCAAACAGACCGTCCTTGTGGACAACCAAACTCCCTTCCTTGGTTGTTCAAATTTTCCTTACAAAAAAATCCAGTACCCTAATGAAAGTAAACAGTATTGAAGTAGAGAAATAGCTTTTGGCCATATGTTTAAAGTGATCTTGATATAAATTCAGTGCAACCCATTATTCAGATTAGACTCCTTGACTAAATATCTTACGGCCACTAAAGTAGATTTCTTTGATGACCAATTAAAAAAATTTACTTGCTCTGTCGTCTTTTATGTTTGATGAGCTATTTCTTATTTTGTATTAGAGTCGTGATGACACATAAAACTGAAACCTGATTGAGTGGTTGGTTTACATTCCACATATTATTCTCTGAGTGACTCTAAATACGCGTGTGGTCCGCAACAAAAAAAAACTTTAGCCTTGTAGACACCTCTCTAGTGTATTTTAATCAGGTGAATGATACTTAGAGAGTTGGACTCTGGAAGTGTATTTCCCCGCTCGACTAGCTATCCTTGGCAAATTATCTTTTGTAACGTATTCTAAAGGAAACTACCCCTCCCCTACCCTTGACACGTTACAAGCTGTTAATTAATAGCCCATACAGCTAATGGCAACTAAGGGACCTACAGTTTATAGTGGAATCCGAACTAAATTTTTGCCTTGGTAAATACGAATTGGTCTAATTTTCAGGATAGTACTGCGGATAGTCATAGTACTCACTCGTGCGGACGTTAATCCACACCAGGGAGTATCGCATCCACAGTGCATGCCTATAAATATCCGCAATTCGTAACCTCCTAGTAGTTGGATTACAGGACGACGCCACCCATCCCAGTTTTGTTTCAGTCCCACAAATGTGAGCTAACTATTTAATACATAAAATTGCTAAACGTTTTTAAACCAGCATTTCGTTTAGGGGCAAAACCAAGTAAATTCTTCAAATAACTTGCAATGATAAAATTGTTGCTGGTAAAATTTCAAATCCACTGGATGGTGGTCAGTCTTCTCAATTGGACTGCAATTTCTAGGATCACTGGTATTATCAAACAGAAGCACGTTTAGGCTTGTGGACACAATTCGTGTATGGCGCCATCTGCCTGACCGGCGATCGTGAGGGTTCCCATTGCAATAAGCTTTTTGTGGTTGATAGCTGCAATTAAAATCAGTGTGCCCTACGTCTTTCGACCCGGATACGCTTAATTAAGTGTGTGTTCTGACTAGCGCTCATTTACAGGTTATCTCTTTTTAAGTTAAATGGGGACCTAATCTAAGGTGAATGTAATTCTTGCCAATTTAGAATTACATTCACTCAGAATGTATCTTTCAAGTTTCAAAACCAAATCCCGACCTCTCCGAGCATTGGAATTGTCACATGTACCGTCTCAGGTATGTACGATCCATGTATCGTGTGTAGTTTGAGGACTCAATACCCTATTGATTGAGCCTGCGCTAAGTCAAATACAACTATCCGCCTTTAAGGATAGAGGTGTGCTCTGTTGTTTCGAATTGATTTAGTCTCTTCAGTGATAGATAGGTCCGAAGACCACTATCAGACAACAGTAAGTGTGTTTTGAGTGGAACGTGTTCATTACGAGATTCTTGCATTCACTGGGCGATACGAGCGTTCGACTCTCTTTTACAAACTCTGTGTGACAGTGGAAGAATTTAGCAATCCACAATGTCAAGAGTGCACTACTTTTCAAAATTTCACAGAGACTATGAATATTAATTATACCTCAATTAAATTTAAAATGACTTTGATTAGTCATATCGAAATTCAGAAATGTCTACTAGAGACAGCTGAAGATGGGTTCCAGATTCCAGGAACCAATCAGCAAGCGATGACAGATTTCAGTCATCCAAAGGCACTGGACGTGAAAACAAACAAAGATCAAAACTGATACAATTGTGTTGTAGAGTGGTGTTTAATCAATTACCATAATATGGTCTATATTATAGGCCTGATATAATTTTTTGATAAAGGTTTGTAGGAAAGTAACTTTAACCAGACTAGGGGGCGGAAACATTATTAGGCCTAGGGGCGCCAAAATGCTAAATCCGGCCCTGAGTCTTTCCAGGTGAGCAATTTGTTCTTGGAGTTGGCATTACCCTACTGCAGTTCAGGAAACTACAGATTCGGTCTCATAATTCACTTGAGGCAAAATTAAATTTTCTTTTTTATGCTTCCCCTGACTTTGTCAAGGGGAAGTGAAACATCAGCTCCCACTCTAGTCTTTGTAAACATTTATGTATATTCAGTGTTTATATTTGTAAAAATTCTATTCAACCGACGATATCACAAGTAAGAGATGAAACACAAAAAGTTTAGCTTAGCCTAGGACTGACGATAACGCTCCGGCGTAGAAACCTAGGTCTCCACAATAAACTGTAGGTACCTTTAGTTTTAGGGCTACCTTTTTAATATAAATAGAAGAAATGATAAAGACCATATAGTACTGTTTTTCAATTCTCTGCATGGTGTGTTGCAGGCTTAGGCTAAGATTTTGATGTATTGACGTTTCCTTGTACATCTTATGCTTTCAGGAAATAAATCATTCTCATTCTCATTCTCTCAATAAATTGGATTGTAAGGTAAGCCTTAGATTATAACAATGATTAATAACGATCCAGAGGCTATTTCTCCAAACAAAATATATAGGCCTAGCCATATAGGAAACAAAATCTTTAAGAACTAAAGGCAACACAACACAAAAAGATAATTTATTTTATAGGTTCTTGAAACTGGGTTACGTTACTAACTAATCATGCAAATGTATGTGATAATTATACAATTATCACATTCAATAATAACAAAATAATAACTTACCTTACCTTCCATCCACATAAACTATCATTTTTATGAAAGAAAGAGCGAAACAGAGCTAACTTAACCAAATTCAAAACATAAACGTAAACAAAAAGTCGGAGGGAAGACAGCTGATTAGCAACAATCCGAAATCCCATAGAGAAAATCAAAGCTTAGCTAGTAAGTGCTAATGGATTTGCGTTGGCCTTACAAATATAGATCAACTCTTCCGCTTTATTACTGTATAAAAATAAATAAACTGTGATTAGTAATTTTAGTTGTCTATCGTAATAGACGGTTTTTAATGTCCTCGTGCTGGCGCAAGATGTCAATTATTTCACAGTGCACGTAGAATGCGTTCACGATTCCCTTACGATCACGGAAGATGCTAACTAACTGTAGGTACCTTTAGTTTTAGGGCTACCTTTTTAATATAAATAGAAGAAATGATAAAGACCATATAGTACCCTGTTAAAAATCATTTAATCATAAAATGATTTTAAACATTGTACTTGGTATATCTATTATTTTACATAGTACCTATATAATGTGTGTATGTAAATGGATGTACAAAGGTCCCCTTTTCATCTAAGCCGCCCCAGGCCCCCTTACATGACAGAACGTCACTAATACTCCATTAAATTTGTAGATTTGTAATCCTTATAAGGATTGACTGAAGAAAATTTTAATGTTAATACCGTCCGGTGCCACTAGGGGGTATTTCTTTTTACATCGTTATTTTGTTGACATTTGGTTTATTGTTATTTTAAGTTATTTAAAACATCGTTTGACCAAATAAAATAATATATAATCATATAAACAATAGCTCATCCCCCTCCCTAGTGATATAATCAAACAGTAAAACAAATCATTAAAGGAACCCTAAAATAATACAAAAATCGACCGACACTAATTAAGGGCTAACTCATTAAAATGAACCAAACATGAAAACGCTCTTTATATTTTACAAGTATTTACAATGAGACGAGAAGTCTGTTTGTGTTGTTTAGCATGGATATTACGCGTACAAAATAGATCACGATCGCGAAGTGCTAGACTTTGGAAATGAACCGAAAGAATCCGGATTGCAAAGCATAGCTCTCAGGATGAAATAAAAAATATTTTTCTTCATACTGCAGCAAAAAAAAAAACAGTTTTTAATGCATGCGTTGCGGATCTAAAGTAGCATTTTTACTCTCTAAAGGAGTAAAAATCATTTTTAGTCTCTAGGGAGTAAAAACCAACTGTTATAAACAGTTGAAAATTTCTGTTGTGGTAATCGTATCGATCGAAATTATTTATCGATTGAATTATTAGGCAAGGTTTTAGGATATTGTTGTCGATCGCTCGACATATCGATGGTATTATAATGTACTGTAATGTAACACAATCGTATCGTAATGGACGAAACGATTGATCACTTACTAAACAGCTACTTAGTTGCATTAGCAGAATTGAAAACAAGCTGGAAGTAGTTTTGAGAGGTTATCTTTACATACAAATTATTTCATTTTCTAGCTTTGTTTGTTAATTAATAATGCAATATGACGAAAAATATAGTTCACCACACGGGCAAAAAGTGACTCGTTAACCCTCGCTAATTTTTCAACATCGGCTTCACCTCGATCGTTAAGCTTGACCTTGGTTAAAAAAAGTCAGTTTAGGCCCTAGGGATGAAATATACTATTATGTCATCACTAATTACATACAGTCAGTATTTTCGTAAACGATTTAGATTTTCCTTGATTAAATTTATCCTATAAAAATCAACTCCAAATCATGAATGAAATAACACTCAAGTATAATCTTACTGGTTATCATTATGCTATAAATTATCTTATATTTTCTTTAAATGAAATATATTTGAATAATTATATATGTGATCTAATAAAGTTTAATCAGATTTTTAGTATGTACATAACAAACTTCTCTCAACTCTCACAGACTGTTTTATCCACATGTGGTTGGTTGTCCTTTCTTTTTCTTTCAATTCAAAAAACAGTTTGTTATTGTAATTGAATAGAATGAAGCAGCCGGTACTGTACTCGATACTCAACCTAACCTCACATGTCCAAACACAAACTGATCGGAATTTCATGTTTATTTTTCATGTTATGTTTGCTTTTGCTGTTCAACTTTGAGTAGAAGATAAGAGATAGACTATCCTATTTTTCCAGCCAAAGTTCGCCATTCACTTCCGTCTTGAATTGCTTCTAACATAACGCCAGTTTCCATTATCTAAATCCAGTAAACAACGCATAAATTAAGTAAGTATTCATTCAATAAACTACATAGGCTAAATGTATTAAAAATTAAATTTGATAAGAGAGCCTGAGAAGATTTAAAACACCTTTTTGTCAAATTTGTTGACTGAATCTTAACATAAGGCTAAACTTCGAATTTTTGTGGGACAAAACCTTTTTGTTCATAGGCCTAAAACCTATTCATATAAGTTAACAAATCTTTAGTTATTGTATGCTTTAGTTAATAAGTGCTTCTACTCATTTGAATTAAAAAAAAAAACAGGTACAGTTTCTTAACTGGGCTATGCTAATATCGATTGAAACTATCGAACTCAACATATTGATCAATAATCGATAATTTTAAATATATCTATTATAAAATTGGTATTTATTGCGACGAACGTGACCATGGGAACCTATATAGATTTATATATCACTAGAAACTAGATTTTTAGCTGAAAATAATGGTGCAAAAATTTTTCCGCGCTCTCAAATAACAGAGTTACGGCTGTTTTAAGTTTTATTTACCGGTACTTTGTTTTTTTGACCTAACCTATTTATAAGCCTATGAAATGTTCTCTCCAGATACTTGATATATTACGTTAATTGTAAGTAGGCCTAATTAAAGTAGAAGACTCACTTTTTACCAGGAAATAACAGTGCAAAAATGTCTCCGAGGCCACGAATATTAACTAAGGTAACTTAAGATAATATATGATATAACCCAGTTACAAGAACAGTTTTAATCAGAATGATTAAGATAATTTGTCGTTTTGATTTCCTTTATCTACCTTCTATTCTAGTCTGCTACTGCTTGCCGCATTACGGAATTACGGAACGGACTAACTGTTACTTACTTCTTGTACAACTATACTGAACCTGAAATGAAAATGAAATGAAAATACGAAATTGAAGAGAAGAGAATAAAAATAAGTCAATCAAGTCATTTAAATTACATGTGCTACAAACATCTAAGAAACAACACGGCACTGAATAACTTATTTCAGAATGATTTTATTTAGGCATGTGTGGAAGGCAAGTTGGGCTTATGCGGATTCGTGACTGTATTAAGTGTTTTGAAGTTAGGTTAGATTAGGAAGGTAAAGTGTAGGTTATAGTGAACTGAGTTGATAATTTATATTACACACAGGCAGTTGTTGTGCAATTAAAATAGTGTGTTAAACACAATGAAATAACGATTTCAAAAATTGCTGCCAGCAATCACAATACGAATAGCCTACCTGCTATTTCCTATCAGTGGAAGCAATAAAACACTTTCAAGGCCTACCTAAATTTTGTCAATAAGGCCCAGAAGGTTAAAACTCAAGTCTTAACTTAAATTCATAGAATTGGAAACATTGGTTTAGGATTGAGAAAGGCAGGGGCGGCTCCAGTGGGTCTAAGGCCCGGTACTTATTTCAAAATTATAAATAAATAAAGAAATGTTATTATATATAATTTAAAGAAAGCATTCAAACTAATTATTTTGCATTTAAATTTTAAAATTCCCCCTTTTTGCAGGAAAAGCCCTTCAAACCTCTTGTTCGCCTTCCAAATTCTTTCTTGATCCTTCTCAGGCCTACCCAAAATATTATTCCTGGAGCCGCCCCTGGAGAATAGGTTGCTATTCTGGATTCAGACCTTGTCCTTACATTCTTAAGTTACCTAAACCAGGTGACCTTTTTATTTGAGAATATCACCTTAATCTAAGGGCACTATTATGTTCCGTTTCTTTTGTTCTAGAAGTGCCTTTTTCCGTCCAATTTTACCCATAAAATGCCATTTGTTTTTGCAAATGTGTTAAATTTCAAACAACAAAACCATATTTTAACTACAGGCTGCCTTAAAAAAACGTAACCAAACAAAAGTCATCCTGAAAACCAAACACTGTGTGATGAAGCTTGCTCCAAATGTCAAATGGCTTACCTGTAGTTGGTTTTTAATGTTTGTTTTATCGGTACTGTCATTTACCCTAAGATAATACCTATAGAATATTTTCTCTTAGTTAGGGCCTGGCTTCTACTTTGCAGTTTAGCCCTATTATATTTTAGTTTTATTCCTACATTTTTATTCATTTTTTATCCCAAGGAATTGCCATTTTACAAAAATACAGGGAACAAGATGGCATTTTGAGTTACACTCGAAAGAATATGCAACAAGACAGTTAAACTATGGCAATAAATAATATAAATTAGATAACAAACAATATATAAACCTATCTGAGGGATTTTGATAGTGATTAGATGGTAAAATACAGGTGGATGTTTGCTAGATTAGAACTATCTAGCCCTCTTCTCATACAGGCCCTCTTCATCTTAGGCCCGGTTCACACGAACGACATACCTAGCAGACTAGGCTTGGACTAGGTAAGCACGACTGAGTAGCGGACCACAGGATACACCGGTTCACACAAGCGACATGTCCACGGACTAGGTGAAAATATCAATATCAAAACCATTCTGTTCCATCACTGGTGCATAATGAGAACAAAGGTAAGAATGCGAGCTGCAGCGCGACTACCCGATCGCTCGTGTGAAAGCTCCCAAAAGGGACTGGGAAGCGGGGCCCGACTAGGTTTTGGGACATCAAGCTTGAACACGACTAGCTAGTCAGCGTCCTAGGCTCGTGTAAACGGCTCCATATGATCCTGTGGTCCGCTACCCAGTCGTGCTTACCTAGTCCAAGCCTAGTCTGCTAGGTTTGTCGTTCGTGTGAACCGGGCCTTACTCATAGAGAAATACTTTAGTCTGCATATTTGTGAGAAACTATCTTCCTTCAGGATGCTATCAAATTTGTCCAGGTGACTTTACCGTTCCGTCTCTGGAGTACAAAAGAAATCGGATTGGAATGTACCTATTTAAATCACAAATATGTTTTGTTTGTAGTGATTTATGTTTCCAGATTTAAAATGGCTGCTGTGCTAAAAAATTCATGCAAGATGTTACGGTGGCCTCGTTTACTGACCAACTCAAACTCCCAGGTAAGTTTAGCTTATTTTTTTTGCTATCTCAATTTATTTGTCTATTCACATACCAATCAGGGCTTGATTTGGAAAATAAAGACCATTATAAAAACAGCCCTCATAATACCCTGCCACAGCAAACCTGCAGGCTTGAGACTGGGAATTTCCATTTGCCTGATTGGATTTTCTACAAAATATTTCCATAAAAAGGTCAACACGTTAGATAGTAACAAGACCAGGGTTTGGATTATTCACTTAAAAAAAACAAACTTAAAATAGATGCTACAGGCATGGATAGGCCCTATAACAAAAAAAACAAAAAACAAAAAACAAAAAAAAAACTTTGTCAGCAAACTGACAAATATAAAAAAGATTTAAAGATTCAAAAGATTTATTGTACCATTCAGTGTTTGCAATAATTCGGTAATTATTTCGATTAACGTGACCATGGCATCTTATATATTTATATATCACCAGAAACTAGATTTTTAGCTGAAAATAATGGTGAAAAATGTCTCCGCACTCACAAATATTAACCGAAATACGGTCGAAGTTTTGTTTACTAAATCAAATAAAAATATCTTTTATTTTGAAAAAAAATAGGGCCTAATAATTTTTCATAGTTTTTACAAAATATATACAATAGAGGTTTATAACTGAATAAGTTGAAAATATACAAAATTGATCTCACATGGGAGAACCCGTGCATGGGAGTGAGCCTTTTTATATTATAATAAGAAAGAACAAGAAACGTTGATACATAAGTTAGTAAAAATAAAGAAACTTCTAATTGCAAAACGCTAGCGGAATTTTGACAAATGACATTGAAACATAGATGACTATCAGATTAACTTCCCTAATCACTAACCACCCAAATCGCCCCCCCCCCCCCTCTGCCACGCACACACACACACACACACACACGTGCACACAAGCACACGCTGTATCAGCTGTCACCTATTGTCTGTGTATAGAAACTAATAATCTATTAGCTCCATTTCTACCAAAGAGTTTGAGCCATTGACAATGTGTTTTTTGTGCGTTATGATTGAGTGTCTGTCGTAGTCTCGTAAGTCTAGTGGAAGGTTGGAGTAAATTATGTGTGTAACGTAGTAGCAGTTAGTTGTGGAAAATGTCTTTGTAAGTCAGGGTAAGCGTATATACATTTGCCTAGTGCATGTCGAGTATTATGGTCATGCTGTGGATGATCAAAGAGTGTCTCATGGTGATATAAACAGTGAAACTGTTCTGATGAACAGTTAAATTATATCAAGTACATTCATTTCAGTGAACAGAGCTTAAAAGGGTATTGCCTACAGTTGCCAAGTGCCACTTTTATGATTGCCTTTTGTGTTAAAACGAGAGGTTGTTAGTTGTTGTTGTACACACAGCCCCAGGCAATTATTACCCCCTCAAGCGGTGACTGTATATAAGAAAAATATACATTTTTAATTTAACCTATTTCAAGAAATTGGTGCAGTTGGCAAAAAGCAAAACTAAGCTGTCTTAACTTTTTGTTTAAGTATGACACAAGATCTGCCCATGACAATTTTGAATCAGACACAACTCCAAGATATTTATAACTTTGATCTCAATTTATTACCGGGCAAGCTAAATTATTTCCAATTTCATGACCACATTAATGAATTTTGATTTCGTTACGGGTGTGTCACCTCGAGCTCTTAATTGGAATAAATTTAGTGACGTTGAGCGTTAACACATACTGATAAAACAATTTTTTTATTTTTGATACCTCTTTCGGCATTGGCAAAAGCTGAGTCCCAATTTTCGCCTTGGAATAATACTAAGGTGTCGCCGGCAAAAAGGTAAAATTCACCTTCAATATTTAATTTCACAAGTTGTTAATGTAGGTAGGCCTATGTTAAGAATTGTAAAGGCCCTAACAAGCTACTTTGGACCACCCAAAAATCTACATTACCAAGATTACAATTGATTCCATTAATATTTACAAACTGCTTTCTATTATGAAAATAACATCGAAACCATTACAGAGCTACACCTTTAACACCTTTCAGTTCTAATTTTTTTTCAAAGGAACGATCTCTCAACTGAGTCGAAAGCCTTGGCCAAGTCAAAAAATACAGAATAACACGCCTGCCTCTACTGACCTCGAACAATGCATCTGTGATGTTTTTGATTTTCTAAAACCAAACTGATGGGGTGTTAAAATACCCCATTACCTGGTTAAGGTAATGAAAAACTTGATCTTTGATAATTTTTCCTAAAATCTACTAAATATTTGATACAATGTTTCCTCACTAAAAACTTGATATAGCCTAGTTATCAATGCAAAAAATACAAGTATTTTTGAAATTGTTATGTAGTTCTGTTTAAGCCACTATTTCAATATCACAAAAACATCCTCTGTGTAAAATAAATTATCAACTCGGTTCACTATAACCTACACTTTACCTTTCTAATCCAACCTAACTTCAAAACACTTAATACAGCCATGAATCCGCATAAAGCCCAACTTGCCTTCCACACGTACCTAAATAAGACGTGATATTATTCTGAAATATTCAGAGATCAGTTGTATTTCAGATGTTTGTAACACATGTACTTTGAATGCCTTACTTAGCATTACATTATTTTTATTCTCTTCTCCTCTTCGTATTTTCTTTCATTTAATTTCGGTTTTAGTTCACCGTAATGCAGCAAGCAGACAAGAATGTAAATATTATAAATCAAAAACTACCTTAGTATATTCGTGACCTCCAAGAATTTTTGCACCTTTATTTTCAAAAGTTAAAAGTGAGTATAAAACCTTAATATTTACTTTAATCACTTAGAATTAACATAATATGTAAAGTTTCTGGTGAGGAAATATCGTAGTCTAACAAATAGGTTAGTCAATTTACAAAAGTAAACAAAACTTTGAACGGCTGTAGTTCTGATAATGTTTGTGAGAGCAGAAAAATGTTTGCACAGTTATTTTCAGCTAAAAATCTAGTTTCTGGTTCAAGAGATACAAGAGATTTATTATACCATTCAGTAATAAATACAATAGGTAAAATCAAACTATGCTAAACATAAATCAAACCAATTTACATAAATAAATGAAATGTTCACCATTACAAACCATGCTGAAATTGTTTAATCTCACTCAGGAAACAAAGCAGCAAACCATAAAGTTTGGGGAAAAAACCAAAGAAAATAAAATTGTGACACATACCTGAGTTTATAAATAAAATTACAAATTAAAATAAAACAATGGCTAGCCTTCAGAGCACCATAAAATTCAACAAATTCATAAAAAGGATTCGTTTCGAGCCAATCTTTTACAAATTTAGTAAATTTAGACTTCCGCAACGACCGAACACTTTCTGGACGAGCATTGTAAAACTTTATGCCTGTAACAGGAAAACAGTTACAGTAGAACCTCTTTAATCCGAACTAATTGGGACCGGGGGTAGTTCGGACTATTGAATAGTTCAGATTACAGAACATATTGTTGTTTTTACATAACAATAGCTAGGGAAAAGTTAAAAATGCTTTAGAAAGTAAAATACAGTGTTTATTTAGACCTAGTAGTGTAAGGAAAAAAACAGTACTGTACATTACAATTGAAATAATTAAGTTACGGTGCGTATATCAATAAATACAGTTTACAATAAAGAGCTACTGTATTGTGTATAGAGTACAGCAATGAGGCGTTCGGATTAGTGGACGTTCGGATTACAGGGGTTCGGATTAAAGAGGTTCTACTGTATTAGTTTAACTCAATCTATTGCTACTTAAATGTACACTGTTTCTATTTCTTGTAACTTGTAAGATATGAGTGGACAAACCAAACAAGATTCTTGCAAACAAGATATTCTTCCATTTCCTTAATAGCTAACAAAGATTGGTAAATTATAGACATTCACGACAGTCATAATGCGAAGTTCAGCGAACAATGCTCCAGATAGTGAACCTGACATATTACTCGGATAGCCTTTTTTTATGGAGCAGTACTTTCTGAGCATGCGGGGAGTGACCCCTAGGAGTGTGCCATATACAATAAGGGCCTGGAGAAAAAGAAAAGAAAGCAAAAAGTCTCAGAAAGTTAAAAGGTGATATATAAATCCATACAGGTTCCCATGGTCACGTTAATTGCCATAAATACCATAACATCAATTAAAATATGCTAAATATATATATAAAATCAAAATATAACACATACTTTCTCCCTTTAGCTTGTCATCAACCCTTATTTAATGGGCAAGTGGTGGAACTAACAGTAACTGATATTTTATGGCTGTAAAAAAACTACGAAAGTTGCATAACTTTTGAACTGTAATTTTTACAGCATTGTGGGTTGTACCATTTTGTTTACGGTTAAAAGGACCTCAACCTACTAAATTTTTAGAATTCATCGTCTTGATATTGATTTACCGTATAGCCAATTGCTAGAAAGTATTTTGTTACCTTACTTTGTTCCTCAGAGGTGGGCTATTAAAAATTAAACACACACGTTGACATAGACACAAACAAAAAGACTGAACTGATTACACTATTACACACATCACACATTTTACATCTGATTAAACATTTATCACATGGGCTGAGCTGATTCAATCAAGTCGCTGCTAGTGCACATACTTGGTTGGTAGTGGTGGTGTGTGGTCACCACTATAGGTAGTTTAGTTTTTTCAGCATTTTTAAGTTATATAATTTATTATTTCCACACGGCCTATTCAGGAAACTGGTCACTTAGTCGTAATTAATCATGGTAAAACTGGTTTCCCTCCATCCAGTTGTTTTTGTTTAAATCATTTGTCCCACTTACAATGATAATGTTTGTTAATTTTTAAATTCATTATCAGTATAATGATGTCCACACGGCCGGGGAAGATATTAGTGATTTGCCGTGACCGCGGACGACGACGATGACGTTTCCATGACTGCGGGTAGCAATGTTGATGTCTACACGGCCGCGGAAGATGTCCATGATTTTGCCGCGATCGCGGACAACGACGATGACGTTTACGTGACCGCGGGATAAACGATGATGTTTACACTGCCGCGGGAAATTTTCATGATTTTGCCGAGATCGCGGACGACAACGATTACGTTCCCGTGACCACGGGAGTCAATGATGGTGTCTACACGGCCTCGGAACATTTTCGTTATTTTGCCGCGAACGCGGATGACGATGATTACGTTTTCGTGATCGCGAGAGACGGCGATAATGTATACATACCGCGGGAGATGTCCAGGATTTTTCTATGATAACGTAAGACTGTGATTACTTTTACGTCACTGTGGGAAGCGACCACACGACCGCAGGAAATATTCAGGATTTTGCCGCCGTTGATAATGTGTTCATAAAAAATGAAGATAATATTCAGGATTTTGCTGCCATCGAGAGAGACGATGTTTCTGTGGCCTTAAGTAATGATGATAATGAAAATTATTACTTAATAAGGATTATTATTTTTTCAACACTAGCTCACTGGACTTGAAACAAATTTGATGTATATTGTATACTTAAGCTGCAAGTCTTAAATTGATTATAGTTTTAAGTGGAACCAAACAGATATGCGGGAACCTGGAAAAACTTTGAAAAACCAGGAAAAAACCTGGAAAAAACCTGGAATTTCACTTTAATAAAATAGTATATACCCTGTTATATTGTGTAAAAACAAACTTTGCTCCATCATTATTTTACCTGGCAACACCAAGTTGATGAATAGGCCTAAGGCTAATTTGTTGGCTGAATTACATTTAAGATCTTCTTTAGGAGTACAAGCAGATTCGGCATTTGAATCTGCTGGAATGTCACAGCAAGAATTTGCTGCAAAACTTTGGTGTTTCCGTTCAGAAGTTTGAGATTGTAGAGAACGAAGGTGACCTCAAGAATTTGAAGACAAAATTTAGTAAGTATATCAAAACTTAACCTAAATTAAAAATGTACCCTTACAAATATTTTAAACATTGTATAAGCTAGATTTCACGTACCGTACTGGTAACAATCTCAGCTCTACTTGCACGTTTAAGAGGATGTATAAATAAATATACAGGTTTTAGTATAAACTGTAGCCCACATTTCATTGCTGTGATTGTTTACTTTGTAATGTACAAAAAATTACACAGTATAACACAAAAATGCTTGCAATCAAACATAAAATATTTCCCTCAATGTTTTAGAAGTAGATGAGTATGTCATTAAAGCAATGATTCTGGCTGGTGGAAGGGGTCTTGGACATTTTGATAACGGCTTCAAAGGTGGAGTACACCTAACTAAGGAGTAAGTATGTCTGATAAACAGTCCTTTTACTAAAATCACTCACTCTTTACTAACATTGCATCACATCATATGAGTTAGTATTTGTCAATGTTATTAGTAATGTTCACATGTGCATACAGCTCATTGTTACTTGTGTTTTGATTTCACAATCATATCATTGAGGGGTTACTTGTCAACTTATTTAACTGATATTGTGTTTATGAAGCTGCTCATGACACTAAAAATAGGGTTTACCTTTCGTCTACAGCTCAATGAGTTGTAACTTGCGTTACGGCCGTTTTGGCATTAACATGCCATCATCAGATATCTTCAGCTAAAGCAGCGTCGTCATAGTAGAAACACATAACACAAACACATTTTACAATTACAAAAATACGAAAAATAAAATTAATAGGCCTGTCACACAAACTGTACTGGTTTACATTATCTGAACTAGATGCCGACTGGAGTTTTATCCTGTATTGTTGTTGGCTTAGTTGTGTTATCAACTGACCTTTGTACTCCTGCCTTTGTTCTATTGTCCTGGTTTAAAATACTATCAAATGTGAAGTGTGATTTGTATTGCAGTTTGTCATTTAAAATTGTGTCATCTAAACTATTTTCTTCATAAGCTCTGTAAATTTCAAATTTTTGAGTGTGTCCAGTTTATTTCCTTTATTATACAGTTTAGTTTAGTTTATTTTTGACAACCACTAAGCCAACAACAATGCAGGATTAACCTCCAGTCGACATCTAGTTCAGATAATGTCAACCAGTACCATGTGTGCAACAGGAATGTAAATTTCATTTTCGTATTTTTGTAAGTGTAAAATGTGTTTGTGTTATGTGTTTCTACTGTAGCGATGCTGCTTTAGCCAAAGATGTCTGATGATGGCATGTTAATGCCAAAACAGCCGTAACGCTGTAGACGAAAGGTTAACCCTATTTTTAGTTACATTACAGCTCAGGGGCTAAAAATGGATTTGAATTTTTAATATGTTAATGATAGACAGCGCCTGATTGGTTGAATGGCTACGTTTTGGTTTTGCTTTGTTGACCATTATGGTTACACTTGGCGCTGTTTATTTGTGTTTTCCAACACTTGATAATGTTTTTTGTCATGGTCTATGGAAATTGACCATCTTGAACCTGAACTGTTAAGAAATACATTGGAATTTATCTAGGCCTAAATAAATAAATAGGCCTTAATTTCCAAGTGTCTCTCGGTGGGAAAACTGATTTACAGAATAACTCAGGTCAAATAATATTAAAATAACATAAACAATACAACAATAACCATTAGAATAATACATGTGATAAATTAAAACACTAGCCTATAATACATTTTACGGTATCAGAGGGGAAAAAAACCTTTACATGCTCAATTTAGTGATCCAGAGGCAAAGGAAGAAATGTAAGACTTATAGTCCTCGCCACCCTAAGTTGAGGCAGCCCAAGGCCGCACGGCGTATATCTAGTGCGGCCTTTGGCTGCCTCAACTTAGGGTGGCTAGGACTATAGTTAATTGTCCTGAAGTTTTTTTTTACTAATGTTATTGTCAATACTTTGGTTGTTAGATTACATTTCAAACGAGAAAACAAATGTTTCCATTCAGCATTTAATAGTAAACTTATGTCTATCAATCCAAATTGTAAATCATAACCCACTAACTCAATATTAAGAAAAACCACCTACTCCTAATACAGTTTTGAGTGAATTATTCATTTAGCTTATAGATTTTGTTAGCAACATTTGAGATATTTTATATATAAATATTTGTGTACTTTTTACGTTATGATATGCATCTTGTTCAACGATCACATAAGACCAATAGATGGAGCATGTTGGCCGCGACGTGAAGCCAATATTTTTCACCAATCTTCACTAAGATGGCGGCTGCCGGCTGTGATGAGCCCTAATAGCGGGCGCAATTACGCCTTTATATTATCTTTTTTAGCGAATTTCCCATATAGGGAATAAGCTATTACCGTAGTACTCATGGTAAGACCTGGACGCGGGACCGATTTTTTTTTCGTTTTGAGGTCCCTAGAGGCCAAAATCACCATCCGTTCAAATTCATATATATATATATATATATATATATATATATATATATATATATGTGTCCGTCAGCACGATAACTCGAGCAAAAATGATCTGATTTTGATGAAATTTGATACAAACGTGTAAACATACGTTTATTCGAACGAGTTCGCGATCCAGCATGATCAAATCATGGGAACGGGGGTTTACGGGGGGTTTTATGGGGTAAAAATAGGTTTTTCCCATTTTTGACCCAAAAAACATAAAATTTAGCAATTTCTTTCCAAACCATTTTGTAGAGCTTAAAAAAACAAATAACTTAGTATATTGAAGCGTTATTATGCGCCTTATTGTTACGGAGAAAATTCCAAAAAATTGTAAATTTAAAATTCCCATGTTATTCTTATGGAGAATAAGTAAACTGTTGTAGTTTGCTTGTTTGTGAACATATTTTGATCAAATTTGGAAAATGTTTTTATTTCTTAAGAAACTATTCACATAAAAAAAAACAAACAGTTTTACCCTCCCTGATGCAGCAAACCTAAGTACTTGTTAAACTAATTCTATTTAAATCAAGAATAAATGTTATATTTTTAAGTAGACATTTCAGTGTAAATCCAATCAGTCAAATGGAAATTCGATTAGTCTGCAGGTTTGCTGCGGCGGGGGTATTTTTTTATTACTAACACAATGACCTTTAAAATACGCTTTTACTTTGTTTTCTAGCGTTAACCGTTTCTTAGAAAAAGTTAGATTAGATAATTAACAACAAAAACTTTTTGGGCGAAAGAAAAATTCTGAAAAGCTACAAATTAATTTATAATATATGTATCTATATCGTATTAAAGTTTGATAAAGTTCTGACATTTGGTTTACAATGTACGTATTTTCAAAGTCACAAGATAGTATCTGAAACTCTTTATACAACTCTCCTTTATATTCTGACTGGCATATTAATTTGTTTGAAAGAGCTAACAAATATTAATTTTTAGACGAATACAAAAAATAAAACGAAGAACATTTATATGTACTCTGTGTTTTTCTAATTATTTTAGTAACTTTTCTGTATAGCTCCAAACTTGAGTATCTAAACTATATTATAAGTGAGGTTGTAGGCAGAATCTGCCTGCATGAAGCAACTCGGCGTGACGGGTAGCCCCTATATTACAATTTAAATTACAACCAAACTACACCAGCTAAAAATTAAAAAAAAATATGATCCAAAAAATTCAACTCTTTAGCTACAAAATCCACCATTTTTAAACTTACCTGACCAAAAAATAAAAAAAGTAGTAGCTGACAAACTTTTTTGTATCATATTTTAAAACTCATTTAAAAGTACCGACCTTATTTGAAGATTTAAAATAGAAAATATTAACTTTTAAGCTTTTAATTAGAACCAATAGTGTCCTAGACTTATTGATATCATTCATGCGATGTTTCAACGATTTAACTTTAGTCTAAGTATTCATCAACATCTAGCGCTTCTAACCTACAGTAAGATGGCGGACCTGACTAACATGCTTTAATGTTAGTTAGATAGGCGTGCTCCATCTATTGGTCTTATGTGATCGTTGATCTTGTTTCAGTCCTGAAAAACTTGAAGGTATTGTGTCAAAGATGGTTGGTCATCGACTAATCACCAAACAAACTCCCAAAGATGGGATTTTGGTGAAAAAAGTTATGGTTGCTGAATCAGTCAATATCCACAGAGAAACATATTTTTGCATATTAATGGATAGGTAAGTGACAAGTGTGATACCGTAATAGCTAATATTATAATTTAATCTTTGACTAACATCACATTCTAAGAGTGAGCTGGTTTAGTGGTAGTGCTCAGGGCCTCGGTTCTGGAAGTTCCAGGTTCAATCCCAATGTATTTAATTTAGATTCTATAACTTGTATGGTATATAAATGGACTATTTGATCTTTTTAATTCAAACTGAATAGTTGATCTTACATTTATTTCAAACTAGCTGACCTGTCAAACTGCCCAGCAATTAATGGATACCGTGTTAAAATGTTATCTTACCGCACCTTGATTTAAGATAATACAGGGTGTCCTGTAACTCTCTGGACATATGTATACAGTGTTATTGCTTAGGTCAAGACAAACAGATTTCACCATAGGAACATGGGTCTGTGATACCTAGTTTTCTGTCTGTCTGTATTATGTGTTTTTTACAAAAACATTAATAACTCCTAAACGGTTTGAGATACAGCGTTGAGATTTTGCATAAATGTTTATCTTGTTAAGACCCATTTTCGTTTAAAATTATACAAAAAAATCATTTACCGTTTAAAAATGGCAGCCATTTAAAACATTTGATTAACATTGTTTAAATGATAAAAGTGGTCATGCATTTAGAAAAGTAGACATTTCTCTGTTATTTTTTTATTTATCCATTCTTAACAAATAAGGTATCATTGAAAACTACATAAAATTTACTACTTTAAAATATTTGATGCCAAATTTAACATAAACTGTTAACTTAACAAAAAATTTGCAATAGAAAAAAAGTTAGTAAATTTTATGTAGTTTTCAATGATACCTTATTTGTTAAGAATGGATAAATAAAATAATAACAGAGAAATGTCTACTTTTCTAAATGCATGACCACGTTTATCATTTAAACAATGCTAATCAAATGTTTTAAATGGCTGCCAATTTTAAACGGTAAATGATTTTATAGTATAATTTTAAACAAAGATAGGTCTTAACAAGATACACATTTATGCAAAATCTCAACACTGTATCTCAAACCGTTTGGGAGTTATTAATGTTTTTGTAAAAAACACATAAATACAGATAGACAGAAAACTAGACATCACAGATTCATGTTCCTATGGTGAAATGTGTTTGTCTTGACCTAAGCAATAACACTATAAACATATGTCCAGAGAGTTACGGGACACCCTGTATATTAATTTAACTGCATTCTAATTCTGTTATTAAACTAATACAAGTACCTAACATATTTTGTTCGTAGTAATTTATTAGAATTGAAAATCAAATAGTTTGTGTAAAACTCTGTTTAATTTTTGTATAAGTTACACTAGGAAGCATAGTTTTATTGACAATCTTCAGTTTATAATTAATGTCTAAAAGTTCTCTGCTACATTTTGTTATCAATGAAACATGGGCGTTCAAACTAGCCTCAAAGAAACTCTTGTTGCTAAGGTCAAAGTGACAAACGATATCAGGATTGATAAGCTCAAGCCCCCTACACATTCAACTCTGCATTTATTTTTGAGTTTATAAATGCAGTCATAACATACCTTAATATCGTTACACTACAGTAAGAATTAAACATAAATAATTAAGGTCAAAGTGACAAACGATATCAGGATTGATAAGCTGAAGCCCCCTACACATTCAACTCTGCATTTATTTTTGAGTTTATAAATGCAGTCATAACATACCTTAATATCGTTACACTACAGTAAGAACTAAACGTAAATAATTTACTACATTGTTACATTGGTATACTGGTTGTTCAAATGGCAAAATAGGCCCAGAAATCATACTTCATGAATTGGAAATTGTTCTAAATAGATCATTAGTTTCTTAAATCAAATCATCATACTTAATACAATTTTAAAATGGTGTTATATTTAATATTTTCAAACGTAACAACCAACACAACTTAAATGAATAGTTAAGTTCCTTTTTTTATAAATGCAAATTTGAAGCAATATGTAAATATTTTATGGCATATTTGTAAAGCCCTACTAAGTATTTTAGACAAAATATTTTATCTTGTTAAAAATTCAAACTATTTCACTAACGTGTTTACATAATCTGATTCCCTCAAAATAAATCAGGTGTGAGCATCAATCAATTGATCAATTGATGCAAAAATCAATTTTTCTTGATAGTTTAGATATCATTATTCACTGTGGTATTTAATTGAGAGTAGGCCTAATTTAATTTCTTAATCTGGGTGGCACATAAAAAATGCATGGATTTCAGTTTAGTGATAGGAGCAGAGTAAAGACCTGGTTGTTTTGTAGGTTAGGGCGTCCAGTTTTAATGGCAATGGAACAGTAGACCATTGCGCATAACGTTTTCAGGGTTAATGTTAATTCCCTTCCATACATTATATGAATTTGAATGGATGGCTCTTATGGTCTCTGGATCCTCAAAACAAAACAATAATTTGTTCCTGGTCTAGGTTTTACCATCTACAGTGATAGCTTATACCCTATATGGGAAATTTGCTAAAAAATTCATTTCCAAATAAACTTCATTTCTTTTTAACTTATTTTTGTAAATTATACCCTACAAAAATTATCTGATTATCTGCAATTTCAAATTTTAAGGTTACCGAAATTGTGTTCAAAACTAAATTATGTAATAGAAAAATTCTAGGTTACCGATACTGTAGTTTGTGATTGGTACAAATGTTAAATGTTTATCTTCAGGGTTTTTCTAATGGTTTATTGTTTAGGCAAAGCAATGGTCCTGTAATAGTTGCATCTCCTGCTGGTGGAACTGATATTGAAAATGTTGCTGAAAAAACTCCTGAGCTTATTGGAAAGTATCCAATTGATATATTTGAAGGAATCTCCCAAGAAAAGGCAGAAGAAATTGCTAAATTCCTAAAATTTGAAGGACCTTTAGTTAAAAAGGTACAAATATAGATTAACTGTAAGAATAAGAATCCTTTATTATCATTAGAAACATAAGTGTAATTGACATTGTCAAAGCTATAACTAACCAAATATAACAAGAGTCATGGACATTATCACAGTTAACCTTGTGTTGATCTTCTTGGAATAAAAAAAAAAATATATATATATATATATATATATATATACACGGCCGCGCCCGGGAAGCCAGTCACATAAAATATACACTGGAAGTCAGTCAGTTGCACCCCCCAATATATTTCAAGACTATGATATATATATAATATATATTGGTAAATATCTTAAGCCTAGACATATCTGAACGTATATATCTCTTTTTTTCTTAAAAATAATAAAATATAATTACGTAAAAAATGCTATGCTAATGCAGTCACCACCGCATTTGCATGGGAAAGCCAGTCACGTAAAATTTGTGCTGCTAAGCCAGTCACTATATATTTTACAGCATACCACTGGAATCCAGTCACTGAAAATCCACCGGGTATCCTGTCACTTCAGTCACTTTCACCCCTGCCCTTCTACTTTGTGATATTTATTTGTTCTACAAGCTTGAAGATTCGCACCTCAAACAAACGGATTATGCTTCAGGCATTGAGCACTCTCATAACCCATCTTTCGCACTTCATTTTAATTAGTTGTCTTCCAGATTACTTAACAATTACTATTCTACAGATTAAATACCTAAATGTCATTGTAATCTTTGGTCGTCTTAATAGTCGTCCTGGCAACTGTGGATACAAATATGTACCGAACTAATTCGCAAACGCAAGGTGGGAAGTTATTGTTTTGTAGTCGCACAATTAGGCCTATTGTTGAGTCCTTGGAGGCAAGCGGCCATCTTGGATGATTTCAAATAGCTGCAAAATTTATCGTCCAAAAATATTTTTCAAACACCAAAGTGTTTATAATTTAAATAGCTAGTATACTGTGGGATTAGAAATGTTCTTTGTAGTTTTGAATTATTCTCCAAGGGAGTCCATAAAATAAGTTAACGGTCACGGTCATCTTGGAAAAAGGCCAACTAATACGAAAACAATATCCTGTGTTGCGCGGGCCGTAGCACACAAATAGTTTTCCCGCCTCAAACAATCAAAGGCGCGTGGAACAAGGCAAAATTCTTGTCTCTCTTGCAGCGAGAGGTCGGGGCGGGCCTAACGGGTTCCATTGATGGGCTACCCGGCTACCGACCGACCTGGGGTAGCGACTAGCGAGCCAGTGGATGGTTAAAGGTTCTGCCGGTTATTTCAATCTTATTGCTGGTTCTCGAGCTTTTTGAGCTCGTTGTACAGTGAAATCTTACTTCCCTATTTTATATAGCCACAATCAAAGCGATTTTTACAAGAAAGAATGAAGATATAGACTCAGTGATGTGTGGTTAGTTAATTAAATCATGTTCCTTGATTGTTTACCCTTTTGTAAGAGCCAATAATCAATCAACTTATATTTCTTTATTTTTCGATTTATTATCTATATCAATTCAAGAGGTAGCCCTGTACCTGGTTAACAAATATACCGATTACATTTAACGTGTTTTCTTTGAGTTACGCCCCATGGGATTCCAAAGTTTCACAATGTTTACATTTTTGAAGAATGTAGATAACAGAATGTTTGACGAAGTCAACTGTAAATGCTGTCAATGCAGTGCTTTGATTTTGCGGTCCAAAAGGTAGAAACGATTCGATTTGTGAAACTTTTAACTTTTGCTACGGGCCTGTTAATTGGAGATTGTGACTTTCTTAATTTAAGGAAGTAAACGTATTAACATGACGTGTTTGGAGTGGGATTTGAAATATGTGACGTGTATCAAACTTTTTCTCTTCAAAATCCTCTCCGATGTAAAACACAGGTACGGCAGCTAGGTTTATTAGAATTCAAAAGTTTTTTAATTGTCGTTCAATGTTTCGAAATTATTTTTCGATCAAGTTGTTTAATGAATAAATAATTGTTTTGCCAAATTATGTTTCGAAACCAGGAACTAAAAATAGATCAGGAAATAGATATTTTAGTTCAGAAAACAAAGCCAATCAAATAGGCCTACGACTTTTTAAATAAAAACACTGGTCGGATGGTTTTTAACTTTGCTGTTTATTTACTTCAATAAATTTCTAATAAAAATCACCACAGGTACTAATCTATATAAATAAAATTAGAGTTTTGTCTGTACATTGCTCAGAATCATCAATTTTTACGTTTTAAACATTCAAGAATCCGAAAAAAGTTTCATCTCAATTCCGTTATTATCTCAATTCCGTTGTTGTCTATCTTCCGTCTGTCACGGTCCAAAGGCCATTTTACGCGGCCTTCTCCTGAAAAACGAGAGTACCTATCAAGATCCTCGAATCATTTTAATGTATTCACTGGATTGGCGAAAGTTTCTTTAGCTATTAAAATATGGCCTCAGTACTTTGTAAAAAAACTTACGGACGTTTAAATCCCAATTTTGTGCGATTTTTGTCAAGTTTTCTCACAATGTTTATCACATAATCATCATAGCGAACAGCTGTTCGGATCAAGATTATTTTTCTCTAGCTGTCACTGATATGTTTACATTGAATATTGTTTACAAATACCGCAATCATTTCAGATCAAGTTTCAAAAGCAAATCCAAACCAAGTTGGGTTAAAACAGTTTCTCCTTACATAACTGATTTAATTAATCAAAAGTGCAATAATGTGTAGGGTAACCGTAAATGAAAATAGAGCTTCTTTGTGTATACAATTTCTATTGAGTTTTGGGTTGATAACCGGGGAAAAGACATTGACTCAGTGTTCTATATGCCTGGGAAACTTAAATTTTTTACATAAGCGTTACCAATAGCTTACATATAAGGTTTCAACTCGTTGACGGCACTTCAATGGTGGTTGTGTAAAGTGTTTTTAGAGACAACTGCAGTGGGTGATTGTAACAGAGGTTTACGGATTATGCTCAAATCGTATTTCCAATGTGTCTTCTCACCGCTGTGTACTGCTCGCTGGACCATACGTCCAACAGACCAATTATCAATCTCTTGGGTTCGTAGGCTTCAACAATTATTCATAAGTTGGTAGCGCATATTACTCAGTGTTCCGTACGGGCAGGACAAGAGCACCTTTGATAGTGAAATTTCCAACCTGAATGGCGAGGTTGAGGTATAGTATTTTAACTATATATCGTTTGGTTAGTTAGGTAAGGTTAACCTAACCTAACTAACCAAACGATATATCGAATTAAACAATCGAATAATGAATATTACTCATTTAGTTGTTTGTGCTAACAGATATGGAAGTGTACCGTACCCCTCATAGATCTATTACGCATTTTTTTTTTACTTGAAACTGTCAGATACTGTATTTGTTTGTATATAATAGTTTAGCCAGCATATCTGAAAATATGCAAAACAATAGTTTTTCTTTATTTAGGAAGGTTTCAACTGACCACTAGAGGATCCCCGTGCGTAGAACGGGCACACAGCTAGTAATTAATATTTAATTAATACATCTTATCTTACTAATATTATAAATGTGAAAGTTTGTGTGTTTGTTTGTTTGTTTGAAGTTCAATCACGCATTAACTACTGGCACAGAAAATATACTGTTTTTGATTTATAAATAATTTGTCATATTGTGCGAATCTTTAATGATTTGTTTTTTTCTGCTGTTTAGGTGCAGTGGTAGAACATTATTATGGATATGGTAGATGTTTTATACTATATTATACCGTAAATTAAAGAAAAACCAAATGTTCTCAATACGTGTCCTCCAGCGTTGAATTTTTTTTACGGTTTGAGGCCGTTTGCTGGTTACAATATTTAATTGTTTTGTCCAATGTCCGAAATGTAAAAACATGACATTGCTATCCCACACGTTAACTTTTCGTGTCCTTTTTTGGACAAATACTAGATAGAGGATTAACTATATAAAATTAAGTGTGATTTGAAATTTAAACAAAACTAGTGGACTCGTGCTGCTAAGCAGCTTTAAAATAACATATCATATCCTAGAAATAATCAAATTTATGATACAACAGGACTGACGATAACGTTTTGACGTAGAAACCTAGGTCTCCACTAAAAGATATGCCTTCGATTTATTTCAAATTTAAGATTTTTTATCGAGTAATACAGTATCTTGGACTTAATTGTTTCAAAAGATTAATAGTTAAAATTAAAGCCAAAGATTAATAGCTCAAATTAATATAATTCACGAATTATTTTAAATCTAAAACATAAATAATAGTGGAACTATGGGTTTTTAACCATAGAAAAACCTTATGAAAAATAATATTTATCTTGGTTATTCATCTTGTGTTTGCTTGAAACTCGTCCGATTTCAATAACTAATAGTTTAAATTAAAGCTGGTATTTCACTGAAGGTTCTTAGACCAAAATATATAGGATTAGATAAAATTGTAACTGGTGAAATGCATCTTAAATCAAAGTAGAAATTTAAAAAAATCAAATATATATTTTTGGTGGAGTAATACATTAGATAAATATTGCCGATACTTTATGTGAAATCTGTGCGAGCATTCCATAAACATAAGACCTCAATCATGGAAATCGGTCGCGTAGAAGAGCCAAACGAACTCGGAAAATAAAAACCAATTTTTAAAAATACATATATATAAGACTAGAGGACCTATGCTGCCCCGCAGTATTGAAATAAATACCATTATTAAATAAATAAATATCAATATGCCGATGCTTGATGTGAAATCTCTGCGTGCATACCTTCAATTTGAGGCTTCAATCATGAAAATCGGTCGGGTGGAAGAGCCAAACGAACTCGGAAAAGAAAAACCAAAACTCCCATAGGCACATGGGAGTAAATTTAGTTTACGTATAAACTGAGTGATACAATTCGCTAAAACATCCTGTAGGCCAAACATATCTTGAAAAATCCTATTTTTGATTATCTACCAACTATAGCAGGCAAGATAAGTTTTAAAATGTGATACTTTTTTAATATTAATCACTACCCTACTAACAGTGAAATACCACC